AATCCTCAACATTTCAGCTACAACAGAATGGTCAAGCAGCAAGGAAAAAAAAAAAAAAAAAAAAAAAAAAAAAAACCAATAATGGAAATGACAAGATGCCTACAGCTCAATTTGGGCATAGCTGCAATAAGAGATTTGCACCAGATATGAAATACTACAGTATAAAATAAGCATGATCTTGCCAACAATAGCTCAGAAGTACACACATGTAAATCAGTTTGATGTTGAAACAGCATTTCTGTATGGAGACATGAAAGAAGAAATACATGTGAAACAACCAGAAGGTTCAGTAGAAGAAAACAAAATTTGTAAACTAAACAAAAGTATTTATGGACTTAAACAGGCAACCAGAAATAGGAATCACAAAATAGCTGAAATGCTATGCAACAAAAGATAATCCAAGGAAATGCTGACCTATATGCTCCTTCTAATCAAATAAAGAAAATACAAGGGCATATGTTAATAACATACTAACCTTGAATAACAAGAATGAATCATTTTGAGAAGTTGAACAAATACTCAAAGAATATTTTGACATTCAAAATCTTGAAAAATATCTGATATTTAGGAAATGAAATCAAAAGAGAAAAAAATGGAATCGATAAAATTAAGTTAACAAATTAGAGATGTAATCAAGATATTTGACAGCTAATTGGAAAAGAAACTAAGCTTCACACCCATGGGTATGAATTTTACAGAAACCAAAACCAAGCAAGAGGGCAGTTTTTCCAGTAACAGAAATACAGGCAGGAAGTGGGTGCGCTTTTATATTTATCAACAATGTCAAGACCCAACATAGCTCTGTTGTAAAACTCAACAGAAAAGTGGAAAATCTACTGAAATCAGACTAGAATGGTGCAATTATAGTTATGCATTCTTTATAAGCTACAACCAGTTATAGATTGCATTTAAAATCAGATGGTGAGACAGTTATCAAAGCACAGATAATGAACCAGTGACGATGACTGGGCCAGATACAATCCGAGCAGAAAATCCATATCGGGGTATTACTTTGAATAGGAAACAGTATAGTATCAGGGATGACCAAGAAACAAAACTGTGTTGGCTTTATCTTCAACAAAAGCTCTAGCCTTAACTTCACAAAACTGCAATGGAGGAGACAATTAATAGAATATTTAGGTTCCATTCAATGAGAAACTACATTACATTCAAAGATAACATCTCCTGTATAAATCTACATTGCAATTACACACAACCACTAATAACCATATGACTTTTAATTCTGCAGAACTCCTAATTTATTCCAGGTTATGGAGTACTTACTTTAGAAGAGATAAAGGATGCTGAGGTGTATATTTTATTAGAGGCCCAAAAAAGTGAGTTTCAAGAAGAAATAAATCAAATTAAAAGAGGTAAGTGTGTAAACCTCTAAAGTAAATTAGCATCACTGAATGTGTTTCTTGTTACCATGGGGCTAATTAGAGTGGGCGGACGATTGTCCTATTCGGACCTACCCGCTAATAGTAAACACCCTATAGTTTTACATAGTAAACATCATTTAACTACTATTATTTTAGAGCATTTTCATTTGAGGTACTTTCATTTAGGATCACAATCACTGTTATATCAGGTAAGACAAAGGTTCTGGCTACTCAATGGCAAAAATAATTGTAGAAAGATCATTTACAGATATGTAACATGTTTTAAGAACAAACCCATCACAGTTCAACAAATAATGGCTGAGTTGCCCAAAAATTGTGTCACACCATCATACCCATTTAACATAACTGGTGTTGATTTCTGCAGCCCATTTGCAATAAAATTTAAGAATCAAAATAAGAGTAGTAACTGTAAGGTTGCCTAATCAGCATTTGTTAAAACAAAATGTTCGAGATATATGTATACTTCCTGTAGAATGATTGTTTATCTCTATTATAAACTGGTATTTGTTGTAATGATTTGAATGTGCATTCTTCAATATTGTGATTTGTTATTGTGAAATAATTTATTGTAGTATCTTTATATTTACATTTATTGTAATAATAGTTTTAAAATTGTTAATTTCAAAGTCGGGAGTGTTTTGTATTAGCTGAGAAATACTTGGCGACAGAGCAGAAGCTTGTCTAATAGTGCATATACCACCAGAATTGGCACTGAAATATATTCTGTGAGAAACTTGAACTTTTGTGGTACATTTGGAGTTGTGATTCATATGTTACGCTGTAAGAAAGAAACCCAGTGCCAGAGCGTCGCTATGGAAAATAAATGTATTAAACGTTTGAGTGTGTTGTTTTCTGTAATCTGTGTGGTGTTATTTTATTATGATATATAGCTATCAACGTAAAATAGAATAAGTCAATTCAATGTGCAACCAGCTGATTTTGCTCGGATTCTTCAAGAATTATCTGATGAAAAAAGAAAACCTTTGGATGGGAGAACAATAGCGATTTCCATTCTTTATTTTCTTTTATTTCTATTTTTTAGAAATAAATAAAAACATTAAAGTTAGTTTAAAGTGCGTTATTGTAACCAGTAAAAAGTAAATTTCCTTGCAGAAGTAAGTAATGCTAAACTTACTTTTTTTCCCAACCAAGGTGTTTTCCTTTATTTATTGTCTATACTTGTCTTTGATGAATATTAAAATTAGCTTCGATTTTAAAATATAATTATTAAATAATAAATTAAAAATTTTCTATAATGAAATATGTCATTGCATTTCCATCTCATTAACGTAAGAACTTAAAAATAATTTACTTATATTTGAATGTGATATCATTTGTATTTTGCAATATAAGATTAGTATTTTATTTCTGAATAAATTTATTATCAATATTCACTCATTTCTGTCATTTTTCGTGCCAAAAACGGTAAACTAACGGATGTCATAAAAAATATGACGCGTGAGTGCTGATGTGAAATTGCCAAGAGCATGTGCTGGAAGGTTAAACCTTTTTGAACATCCCAAACAACAAAATATCAAAAACCCATTCTTATGTAAGGAGTCACACTTCACAGAGAAAAGCTGAATGCTTGTACTGCCTTCTAGTCCTTTTTTTTCTTATAACAATAAATAAAAATGCTTCATTATTTAATTTTGTTTTTCCATATATCGTGTGATTATCCTTAAAGAGAGAAGTTTTATCCTGTTCTACTGTTTGCTTATCAAAGGTTATCAGTGTTGATATAATAAGCAAGCCTACTGAATATCTCTTCTATAGGAATAATGCTTTCAAAAAATAAAGAAAAAATATTAAATCAATATTTTGCATTGGTAAATTGTTATAAAGATTTTTCACAACAGAATCTGCATTTACAGAAACTTCTGATAACTAACATAAAGTTAGATACCTGTATACTGTTTAGAACTGGAGAAGGGAAAAAAGAGATTTGTGTTTACTGAATATTCAGTTATATGAATGATATACTGTGTATTCAATAATGTGATTAAAATAATTTAAACATCAATCAGGTAAAAGGAAAAAATAAATAACACATAAACAAATATAGAGCTTTTACCAAAATAAAAAAAGGAGGGGAATCTATTTGCTTTAATTATAAATTTATAACTTTATCAGGTTTCTTGCATAATAACATTCTATAACAAAAAAAATCGACGCACCAAGAAAGAATAATCCAATGGAGTTGGATAGGAAGACTATGTACAAAACAGAAAATGAATAAAATTTCATAACAATTGAATGATTCATTTCAGAGTTACATAGTTACAAAGTAACGAGCTCAATAAGGTGTTGACCCACCTCTAGCCTGGATGCAAGCTGCCACATGGCATGGCATAGACTGACAAAGCTCCCACATTGTCTCCTGCAGTATTTGTTTCTAAATTTGCTCTAAATATCGGGCTAGGTCATCAACATTCCCTGGTAGATGCAGTCACCTCCCCATCATATCCCAGACATGCTCAATAGAAGAGAGATCTGGCAATTTGGCTAGCCAAGGAAGTGTTTGACAAGCTGCAAGACAGTGCAGCAACATGTGCTGTAGGTGCTCTGGCATTATCTTGCTGAAAAATAAGGCCAGGGTACTGAAAAAAGAATGGTAGCAAAACAGGTCTTGGAATATCATCGACGTACCGCTGTACTGTATGTGTGCCTCAAAAGGGTCTGGCTATCAAGAGAAATGGCACCTCAGCCATAACTCCTGGTTGAGGGTCTGTGTGGCATGCAACAGTGAAATCAGGATCGGCACGCTGCTCTGGGCATCTCCAGACATGTCTTCGATGATCGTCACGACACAGTTGGAAGTGAAATTCGTTGCTAAAGACTATATGTCCCCAGTCAGCACAATTCCAACCTGATCGAGCCAAGTACCACTGTAATCTGGGTTGACAGTGTGCAGGCGTAAGTGGCAGATTGTGTAATGGTCGGTACAAGCATAGGTTTCACTCTATCAGCCATCTGTAAATGGTCATGGTGGACACTCGAGTGCAGGTCGCACGTCTGATGGTTGACAGCGATGAATGAGGCACTGTGACAGATGATCTGCTAATCACTCTGTTCACCCAATCTGTTGTGGCCCTAGGTCGACTGCTACCATCATGACACTGAAATCTGCCATTGTTCATCCATTCTTGGTAGCATCTTTTAATTGCTGCATCGCTTTGACTCAAATGACAAGAGATTTACCCAACTTTCCTCTTTCAACTCAATGATACAACCTCTTTCAAACTCTGACAGTTGCTCGTAACGAGCTCGAATCCTGCGGTGAGCCACTTTTTTTTCAGTTGTTGATAGGTATCCTAAATCACAATTCAACAGAAATTTTTATTAACAGTTTGAAAACAGCTCCTTACATACATCTGCTGGATGCGAAGTTCTGATGCGCTGGAGATAGTACTATTCATTCATTGGACAGCAAATTTGAATCATTTGCATATTTGATCAAAACATTTATGCATACGAAATTTCAAAGCAATCGAATGATTCCTTCTTGGTGCATCTTTTTTTTTTTTTTTTTTTTTTTTTGTTGTTGTTGTTATACAGTGAAAATGATAAAATTTATATAAATAAGCAACTACTTACTGGCCTCATTTTAAACTTTTGAGTTGGTGGACGATATGGATACTCAGTCCAGCTATATGGATAGTCATCTGTCATGTTAGACACAATTCCTGATAAAAGCATATTAAAATCATAATTTATTTTATGGCTAACAGACACATTTAAAATTAATGACAACAGAAAATACTTACACAGCAAAAGTTTAATGGTAATTATATTTGAAAGAATTAAAAATAAGAAAAGCTATTGCATAATTTTAAAGACTTTAAAATTCTAAAATTACTTAATTTATTGATTATATACTGCAAGGCATGCAAGTACTATCTGCCCATGGAAAGTTGTTTTCAGACAGGATGTTCTAGGAAAAACAAATTTTTGCTTGATTACAGGATAAGGGGGACTTGAATAAGTTACTATAGTCTAATCTTTGATTTTCAAGCTGTGACACTAAATTTTAGTGCCAAAAAGATTTTCAGTTTAGCACCTGGCATGATTTGCAGAAAAATAAGAGTTTTTATTTTTAATTAAAAGTAGAAAATTAAAATCAAGATTCAATTTTAACAACTTTCAAACCAGTTTTCAATTTAAAGATAAGTAAATACTTAGAAATACATCTGTGTATTTGATTTAAAATTTTCATTAAATACTGAAGTTTCCTCATTATATATTTCATACAAGGAAAATTATCAACAGCAAAAAGAAAAGGAATCACAGTATGGCTAAGAAAATATAATTACCATGATGAAAAACCTTTCCAATGCTGATAGTCTCATAATCATGAAATTTAAAATGTTGAGGTATAGTGGTAAAATTTCCAACAGAATCACGCCAGTAACTTCCAGTATCATAGAGGTGCAAACTGTCTGGCCTACGACTTGTTAAGAAAGATGTACGACTTGGAGCACACAAAGCTTGCTTTAAAAAACAATACATTTTGAAATTTAAAAAAAAAAAAAATGTAAAAATGCAAAAAAAATCATTTGATTGAAAATTAATATATTTTTAATTTTTATGTAATTCAAAGCATAAATTTTCTGGTTTAAACCTATCACAGACAAATAAACTGAAAGCAATCTCAAGCAATAAACAATGAAAGCTATACCTTTTGAGAAATAAGTACAACAGTAAAGCCCAAGTGCTTCGACTTTTGGCTTTGAAATGATGAATACTGTGTCTTGCATCCTACTCATTATTTACTAACTGTGTGCATATGTTTGCAACCAGTCAAATTATATTCACATGTAATTGATTTACGAACTTTTCCCTACTTTTAATTAATTTTTATATGAAAATAAAACAACTTTCTTTTGAGGAGTTCTTGAGATTCACATGAAATTTTGCTTCTGTTTGGATTTATCATGTTAATTATTCTTTATATCACTATTTAGATCATAAGAGTAAAAGGATTAAGAGTATTCTTTAGGTCTATATATTTTATAAAGCTTTATTTTTGTCCAGAGGAACACATTTAAATTATGACTACATATTCCTCTACTTCTTTGAGGTCCCATTTTATTTTTAGGCAAATACACCTATTCATTTTTGCAAATTTAACTTTTTTATCATTGCAATTTTATATCAGTTTTCTTCCAACTAGGGTATAATTTTAAGTACATTTTGTTGCATATGAAATAATTTGTTTCATGTTATGGTTTGATGATAACATAGCATTAAAAATAAGGAATTAAATCACTAAGATAAATAATAATGAATAAATGTTGCCCCCTCAACCTAAAATGTGAAGACATGGCAGAAAAATTTACCTCAATTTCTAAAATATATTACATGATAATATTTCAAAATAAGGAAAACAGATTTTACATAAAAGAAAAAAATATCTTCTTAAAGGCACATTAAAAAATTTTTAGCCATTTTAAAAACCCAGTACTTATTAAAATATCCATTCAAGGAAATCAGCTTATTGTATATTCTGGTGTATAATGTGCACCTGTAATTTTAAATTACATTTTTTAATTTTTAGGTATATTCACCATATAACGCACACCCTTTTAATTATGAAGAAACCTGTGATACTGTTATCATTTGAAGTCATTCATCCGAAGATATTTTTGCAAGCTTTTGAACAATGGTATACTGAATTGACAAGTGTGTGGGGAGAAATGCTTGAGGGAGTAAATAATTCTGCAAAGACAGTAAGTTGTATTCAATGCATGTGTGCACAAGAATGATATTCGAGGGTTTTAAGAAAATGAAATAATCTTGGATCCGCATATACTTTAGACATAAATGAAGTCTCAAAATTACTCAGATGTTTTCTCTTTCTATAGTCACTTGAAGCCATGACTTTGAAGTAAACATTGAAGCACTGTGTGGCACTGAACACTGAAGCACTGCTTGAAGAAGTGAACACCAGTGTTCCTTTCAGTAGTAAATATGTCTCCTGCTAAACAAATCAAACATTGCATTGATTTGGAAATCATGCTGCACTAAGGATGTTTCCTGTTGGTGAGTGGAAGAAAAATGATATCTTGATAACTAATATGCCAAAGAATGAATGTGCTCTGCAGAAAGGAGTAATAAAATGGCCTATCCTACACAAAAATTTTGCAAACTGGGTTCTAAAAAATTGCAAGAATCGCCAGTAACAGCATTTAGGTACATGTAGAAATAATTTATTTTTTTATGCTCATCTTTTCCTTATTTTTAAATCTATCAGTTTTATATCTGGTGCATAACATGCACCCATAAATTTCGATCTCATTTTTTGTGATAAAAGTGTGTGTTACATGCGAGAATATATGGTACTTGATTTTCAAAAACAATCTGAACTCTGTAAGTTATATCAACCATCTTACTAAATTTACTCATCTGCTGTATTTTTTTGCCAACTTTATGTGATAGATTACTAGCAACATTTAAAAAAATTTAGTATTATGTTTCTAAATTTAATGCTTTTATATACTGAAGAATCAAACAGCGAAAATAAAGTAGCTTTACTACATACTAAAACATTATTAAGAAGTCTCTCTGAAGTTTTTGAGATATGCAGAAGTCATAAGTGGCAGAAAACAATTAATGGTTAGATTAGAAAATATGAATTATTTTAGCTTAGTAGATGATTTTTTATTGGTCGACTTCAAGCAGTTTACATAGAATAAATTTTAGGCAAAAGATAAATAGAGTTGACAGGAGAATATTATTGCGCTATGATTTTTCTATGATTTTAAAGTAGAATTAAATCAAGAAGAATGCATTCAACGTCTACATTCAACGTCCTTTTCATGCTACTGTATTCAGGTGGTTTAAAGAATTACACAGAGGTTGCAATACTTTTTAGGATGAACACACCGGAAAGTCGTTGTCAGGAGTAACCCTAGATAATTTAATTGCCATATGAACATTGGATCCACTGTCATACACAAATTAATTATACAGAATTACTTATGAAAAAAATTAAGTTGCTATTGGGTTCCTCCATAAGTTAACTGAGCAGTGAAAAGAGGAGTGTGTCAGAATCAACAAAGAAACCCTTAAATTACTTAAAGATGGTGGCCACCATATTATTTCTAAATTCATAACTCGTGATGAAATGTGCATACAATTTTTTGACGTTCCAACACGTTAAGAAATTAAAGTATGGGCCTTAGAAGATGATCCCATGCCCACAACAGTGAAAAGACAACATGCCATTAAAAGACGTAATGTATCGTTTTCTTAAGAAGTACAGAACTAGTCAAAGCCATCAAGCTGGAAGGACAGAAGACAGACACAGCTAACTGATACACTACTAAGTGCCTTCTAGAAATTGTTCAAGATGTGAATGTTAGAGGATCCTGCTCAACCATGACAATGTATCTTCTCATTCAGCAAGGTTCATAGCTGAGTTTCTTGAACAAAATCACATCAAAGTGATACAACATCCATTCCATTCACGAGATCTAGCATGTGTGAATTTTGGCTATTTTTCAATTTAAAAAAGAACTTATGAGGGCATCGTTTTCCTTCTGAAGATAAGACTGATGAGGCAATAAATGCAATTTTTTCATTGATTCTAAAAAATGAATGGCCCAAGGTATTTAATCTTTGGAAAATTCGCCTATAGAAGTGCACCGATGTTGGAGGAGACTCCTCTGAACAGTCCTAAAATTTCATAAGTATAAGTTTAAAAACCTTTGCCTATCTCAGAAATTTTAGAGTGACCCTTGTAAAATCAGATCTTTTACAAGTAGTCTATCTCTTTCATCAGATGAAATCTGAATGGATGGCTTGATGGTGGTGGTGTGGATTTTCTGATGCATAACCTGAAAAGTTATACACATCAAACCAAACACGTGTTAAATATTTTTAAACTCAAATTTAAAACCAGAGAAGACATAAAATCAATTGAGGTATTAAAGTGTGAATGTTGATATGAAATGATATATAAACTCAGATGATTCAGATATGAAACAAGAATAAAATCCCAAAACATGAGATATATAAAAATACCTAGGAACAATTTCAACATTAAATCAGATTAAATAATACACACCCGTCTCTTTTAAGAACTGAAATAAACTAGTACATTGACCTCTTTTCCGATTATTCGGTCAATGGATAGCTTGATCAAGGTGACCTTCTTTTATTGCAATTCCATATAAGGGTTACTTTACTACAGAATTTATGGCTAGATGTATGGAAATTAAAAGGAAGATCTCCACTGCAACATGATCTTAGAGCAATTACTATAACTTAGTTTACAACTTCTTCAGTATGGGTGGAAATGGTGTATATACCAGGACTGAAGAGAAGGGCTAGCTCATAGAGTGTTTCCCCCTGAAACAGGCAGTGAGGAGTGATGACGTAGCAATGATGCCACTGAGCGCGGAGATGCAATTGACAACATAGAAATTAGCGTTTTAAATTTGAAGAATCAGCGTTTAAAATTAGCTGTGTGTGAAAGATAGCCATAATTTAGAAGAGACAATGTTATTGCAGTATGCATTTTACACTGAACATTACAAAATTTAATAGTACTTACTCAATTTTAAAATAATAGATAAAATGTGCTACTCTTAGCATAAAGTTCCTTTTTTTATTTGCAGGGATTTTTTTTTCTTTAAATGCCTGTTTGTTTCTAATCATTTCTTTATCTGAATGTTAACTAAGAAAACTATACTACTGCTAAGATAACTATAATAACAGCTATTTAAAATTAATCAAAAAAACAACCTTAAATTGGCATAGTTTTAAACGTGTATGGTTATATATGGCAAAATTTCTGCTAATCTAAGTTTGAGTTTCAGCCTAATTGTAAATTTTATATTAGCATATTTTTCTCCCGATTCATTATAATAACATATATTTTTTTAAAAATAATTTTGTAACTTAGGCTTACATCAATATTTCATTTTTAAATAAATGCATGTAAGATTGTTATCTTAATTTAGACAAAACAAATTTACTCACAGTACCTAAAATAATTATTTAATTTTTCAAAAGTGGGGGTTAAGGGGGCAGGTCTTCTTATGCCAATTACTTTAATATTATACTTTATATATATTTTATCTAGAATGCTAAGCTAGCACAAAATCGAATCAATAATAACAGAGGATACAATAAAAATAACTGTAACAATAACTTAACAGAATTAGTTCTCATTTGAAATATGCTTTACGCTATTAACTTCTAAAGTGCAATCTAGAAATATTTCAAATCAAAACATATTATATATACTTACTTTTTGTCTCTCGTTTCCCTTGACCATTAAATAATTTAGTTTTAGTTTGTGACACAATTTAATTCTCTTTAATAATATCAACATTTAAAACAGTTCCATCTTCTAAAACAAATCCTTTATCTAAAAAGTGGTTTCTCAGTAATTTGAGCCCACCAGAGGCTGAGCGGTAAAGTCGCTGAACACTGGTAGTTCGGTCCGAGGTTCGAATCCTGCAAACGGGCTGGCTGCATGGGCGTTTTCGTGGTTTTCCCCATGTGTAACGTGTATATGAGCCAGTTTCCCTTAGAAAGTCCTCCACGAAGGCATCCCTCCCCTTAGGCAGATAGCCCTAGTGTGCTTTGTCATAATTAAATACACCAACACTCAGAAATTTGAGGCAGTGCGCTAAATCTAAAAACCCATATTTTTTTCGTTTGGAATACTGGATTTGGAAAATGAGAACTATTAATCGAAATCTGTAACTCTTTCCACAAAGTAGTAGATCCTCCTAAATCAGACACTATTGCTTTCACTTCTACTCTAGATGATTGAATATGTCTTATGAGTGAAAAAAGAAGTTCTTTCTTCTTCATTGGAGTGTTTTAAAATAAAAAATAATTGGTTGTTTCCACTGCGAAATGAGACCTTTGATTAAAACAAACTGCACTTTTTGAAAAGGAGCGATTTTTGGTCTAGTTTAGATTCATAGCAGAGTTTAGAATCTATGTGCATTTCGTCGAAACTGAGAACGCATATTTTTTCTACAGAATTCAAATATTGGCATCTTTCCTTCATACAGCATTACAGCAAGAACATCACTCTGAATTCCTGGACTACATGAAAATTTAGCGCACCATCTCTTTAATGTGCTAGTGCTAGGTAAAGGAATTCCCATTTTTTCTTTCCAAAAATCGTAGCTTTTAGATGACATAGCTCTTATGACAATGCAATGTGAAATATCTTCACTAGTCCACCGGATTTTTTTTTTTTTTCTTTTCTAGCAATGCGTTAATCTGCGTCTTTGTAAAAATATGCTTTAGACGTTTTTCCAAATTCTCCGATGTGTTCTGTTTTTTCCTAAATTTCGCTGTTTGGGATTTTAATTTCTGAATTTCCGATACAAATTTCTTTCTAGATGTCGTCCACCTTCTTTGTCGCTGAGCAAACATTCTAAAATCTTTCTTTTCTCTATTTTTCAATATTTTATTACAATTTTCTAAAGATATTATTTTGTTCTTCAAATTATCAATACATTCTTGTTTATCTTTACACTTAGGGCACTCAGGGATATTGTCACATAGGGCATTGTCACTTGTGAGTTTTATTTCAAAATCATTCACATTTGATTTATTATTGTCAGCTTCAATTTCGTTCTCGGCCTCAAAATAAATTTTCTTTGGGCTTATTAATTCGTGTAGTTTTTCAAAAGCACTCTGCATTAGTTTTTTCAAATGTCTCCGATTTCTTGGTGTTATTTCGTTTACTGCACACGATAAATTTACTTTCGGCACAGCATTGCATTTCAACAGTTTCTTTTGCGGCAATACAAGCAAGCGATTTCTCATGTCATCTTCATAATCACTGCACAGAAAATGTTAGCTGCAAATTCTTGCGTTTTTCACATTAATAGAATCCTGTCTTCGACATTTATGTAACCATTCTTTCGTCAAAAGCAAATTGTCCTTGGGGAAAGCATGAAATACAATATCTCTTCCTTTTGTATTTCTATAAGTGTTATGGCACGTTGCTACATCACAAGAAGCCATATTACATAAAGGATACTTTAAATATAGAATTTAAAAGGAAAACTGACTAAAACTATATATACACAAATTATTTTAAATATTTGCATTATTGGAAAACAAATATGTATGATTAAAATTAATTTGGGATATGCGATCTCCAGAAAATCGTCTCGCAACTGAATGAAACTACAGTTTTAAAGGCGCGAAATCAGAGCAGGTGCAACAGAGATACGTCAGATTACTTCCGGTTCCCCCCTCAATGAGACTCGCGTCAGCAAGGAGTCGAACAAAGGAATGACCTAGCCCTTCTATTTATCCCTGGTATATACCCAATGCATAGGTCATGTCGGCATTCAATTTCTCCATTCTTAGCAATTTTTAAATGGATGAAACTTTAATCTGGCAATTTTTTTTAAATTTAAGTGATGCATGGGGTAATGGGATAAGAGGAAAATGTTCCAATAAATTTACTTTTGCTTAGTTGTTACAATTTTACTTTTCTCAAATTAATTGCAGGAAAAAACTTTAAAATTTTGTTGGAAAACTTTAAAAGAAAATAATAATAATAGAAATTTCTCTCTATTATTATTTTTTTTTTTTTAAATTTTTTAAGTCTTGAAATAAAGTTGGGTGGATATTTATTATTTGTGGCAGTTTGCAGGATGCATTTATATTCATTTTCACAAATTTCAGATGTAGAACAACAGAATTCCATAGTGCATATTAAGTAAAAATAAAGAACAGCTGTTTCATAAGGAAGTTGACCTTAGCAATGTTTTCGTATAGTTTTCAATGTAAATCAAAGCTATCTCATTTTGCTTTAGTCAAACTTAGCCCTTACATGGTTCTTGAAGAAGAAAAATAAGTATGATGAAATAGCATGCAGTATAAGTACTCTACCTATTACACAAACTGGAAGTAGAAAAATTGATATGTAATGAATCAGTTAAAATGTACCATGTTATAAATGAGTGCATGATATAAATTACACTACAGTGTAATGGGAAAAAATATATTTCAGAAATATATAAAAAATACATTTTTCATGAAAAATAGTTTTTATATCAGAATTACAGTTACTAATTTGCAGAAAGCAAATATTTTAAGTTGTTACTTAATAACTTTTAGCACTTTATTCATACTGCAAATTTCTTTATTGATACACTATAATAGAAGCATTAATAGTTTATCTCCCAAAAGAATGTTTTTCTCCTTCAAAAAAGAAAGAAGAAGAAAAAAATTATTTACATGTCAAACATCAGGAGAAATTATTTTTGAAATACATAAAAATATCCAAAATTCATTTGAAAAATTATGCATGGTTGGAAATACAATGGTATTTAACTAAAATTGAACAAATTAGTGTTTCTATTTGTCAACATAAACTTGGATTACTTTCCATAGGCACTTACCTCATTTGCAACTGAACATATGCATCTAATGAGAGTTCAGATGAAATATAATTAAATTTCAGTTCACTCTTAGTTACACTCATAGATGTCATGATTGCATCAAAATGCAGCTGATAATAACACAGCCAGTTGTTAGCAAATTATGTACATTATATTCATAATATATATGTTTAAATATATTATGAATATAATGTACATAATTTGTACATAATGACATAAGGTTTTTCGGCTTTAAAAATTATTTTAATGTTATATATGTGTGACAGTCATGAATAACAGTTTTATCCCTGACTATCTCTTTTAAGTGTATAACACTTTATGTTGCTGTTTGGCAAAATCATGCCTTCAGTCACAATTTGGCAGTATATCTAAAAATCAGCTGACTGCTGATTGCTCATGCATTTCACATTGTTTACATGATGACATACTAAATCTTATTACTTCTGAAGTGAATGCTAATATTCAAAAAAACAGTTTCAAGTAAAACTGACTCCGCTGAACCATTAGATCAGGCGGGTAAAATATCAAGTGCAGGAACCTGAAATGAAAATGTTGAAGGCTGTCCATAAAAAAAAAAAAAAAAAAAAAAAAAAAAAAGTATCAAAGAAAAATATATATATATATATATATACTCTGAAAGGAGAGCAAAATGTAATTAACTAATATTTGTGACAGAATTCAAAGAAATATTTCATATATTCTGTAATTTCAATGATGGTAGAATTTTTTCATCTTTCAAATATTCAACCTGCTTGTTTCCCTTTGAGTTAAACCTTTTCCCCTCAGCTTTAGAAAAGATTCATTAAATTATTTTATAATTAATTATATTTGTTGCATAGCATTTGACATGAGAATGTATTTTCTGCACTTTTTCAATATTAATATAAACTAAGCTGCTTCAGATATAAAACATCCCAAGGGTATAAAATATGCCTTTTCTTTAGCACTGGTGAAACTTTATTCTTTAATTTAAAGATGAAATATTTGACAAAATATTGAAATGTATTTTATATTTGATATAAACTAATTCCAATAGCAAAAAATGATTTCATTATAAATTTTATTTACTGATTTTAGCATAGTTGATTTTCTGTCAGTCACAACATTAGAAATCTGGCTGTCCATAACTAAGATTTAATTTATTGGATGTTGGATAATGTAATTACACTGTCAGCGCCCAAAATAATTTTGATAAGTTGTCTAAAAAAACAATTTTTTTAAATATGTGTTTATAATTTAGGGCTTCATTTTGCTACTGGAAATAACAATTACTTTGAAAAGATAAAGTGATATATATCCGCAACTATAATGTATTTGCAAATAAAATATACCAGATTATAAATATCGTAAATATATAAGTTTTGAATTAATACAAATTAAGAACTTGATTTGAGTTGCTATCAACAAGTAATTAAACTGACATATATCTTACACTTGCACAAAAAGAAATACCTGAGCATAAGCATTCTTGAAAATTACACTGCGAGAAGCTAACTGGTCTATGTTGGGTGTAATAGCTCTTTCATCTCCATAGCATCCCAAAGCAGGTCTTAAATCATCTACTACGATAAAAAGAACATTTTGCATTCCAGTAAATTCTGAAAAAAAAATATTAGGATCATTAAAGAAGAAAAGAAACTGAAGTTGTTATTTTTTTGCAACTGAAACATTAGCATACTTAATAATGCGTTAACCAGGATGGTTTCAGCACACTCATATATTACATTACTTAATGCTACAGTTGATCAAGATGTGATGGCATCATTGTGATATACCACATACTGAATAAGCAAAGTTGGTTACATATTAATGCAATGTTACCCCGCCTTTTTTGGGGGGTCACAACAACTGAATATCCTTAATCTCAAGATATAGTTAAATGGATTTTTCATTATTATAATTTAAAAAATAACATTCATCTACATTATATACAATGTCATGGAGAATTTAACTGAACAGGCCCAACATGAGCTAATTAAAAGGAAAGTAACATATAATCTATTCAAAAAGTCAAATCCAATGAAATATTGCCCAGCTTATTATTTCTTGAAGAATAATACTATTTACTTATATACAATGAAGATAAAATAATTTTTATTTTGGTTAGGATAACTTGATATAAGATGATTCTCATCCTCATCCATTTAAAAAACAAGTGGACACTACAGAGTAAACAAGGTAAACACACAATAAATTCTTCAACTGAAAGATTTTTTAAAAAAATTTACAGGTACTGATAATTTGGCATCATTTTCTCTTAAATAAAAATGCAATAATGACCTAATGTTAAATCTACAATAGCATTTTGTGAGCAGCCTTTCTGAATAACATAAAATATATATTTATTTTTAAAAAAATTAATTAAGTGTGCGTTTTTTTAATATAAACATATGTTTTATGCTATTCAAATATTGTACAACAGAATAGCATAAAATACATGTTTACATTTTAAAAAATTATAATATTAATTCATGTTTATATTAATTCATATAATTATTCATGTTTATATTTTTAAAAATCACAAGAAACTCTACAACACCTTACTATGTTATGAAAAACATAACATAAATGTATACCTGTCAGAACTACTTACAAATTTAATGTATAATTGTACTACATACAGCCTTTACGATACTTCAGTAATAAGTAATTATGATGCAGAAATTTAGACAGATACATATATAGATGTGGGAGTAAAATACAAATTTCAAGTTTGATTATATTAGATGTAACCTTTAACTCGGCAGAAGGCGCGCACCCAACACAGACGTTGGAGATTGTGCGGGGTGACTGGGTCATCCCAATCAGTTTCATTAGGAAAATGTGTTATAAAATTTATAAAAACCATTTGATTATAAACAATAATTGCAATATTTCATTAAGAAACTATATTTCTTTACTTGAGAAAACTTATTTCAATATTTAATATTTAAGATAAAATTCTATTCAAAATAATTACATATCTAATCAGGGATCAGAAGCTAACATACACTTCTGGCAAACATAGGCAGAATGAATTTTACATGAAAAATTATCACCTATTTTGCAAGAAATTGTAGTTTTGTTGTCTTTTGACCTTGGACATATAGCACATCGGCCTTTGTCGAGTTTTGGTTTCTTTGATGGGCGTTCTTCTGATCCATTAGAAGTTGCATTATTGATGCTTTCACAAAGCACTTTAGGAAGCATCGGAATATTTTTTATCTCATCTCTATGTGGGGCTGCATAAGAGATATAGCCAAATTTTTTAAGAATTTCCTCCTATTTCGATATTGTAAGGGAGGGGTCTTTGTTGACAATAAGGCAACTCGGGCATTTATTGCAGCGACGTTCAAAATACAATAAAAAAACAACCATCGGCCATCTGTTGGTTTTTCGACCTGTCGAATATAATGATGACATTTCATCAACTTTGTCTACACCACCTTTTGTTGCATTATAAAATTATTTCTGGTTTCTTTGTATCATCACTTTCATCAATGGTGTCATCGCAATGCACTGTAGATAACAAAACTACACATTTTGATTTTTTAGGCACACACGATACTTAGTGTCGCGTTCTTTTGGAATCCAAATATAGAAGAATAAACTTTTCTAGTTTTTGTTTCGACGAACTTGGTTGGAATTTCAGCATTGTTTCTCTTCAGGGTTCCTACAATCGTTAGCTTCTTTGACAAAAGTGCTTTTGCTACAGGATAACTCGTATACCAATTATCCATTGTTACGCTTCTGCCTGATCCAAACAAAGGAGTGCACAGGCATTTCGTAATTTCAAATGGTGAATTTTTAACTCTGAAGAGACCTTCCGGCTGTTGTAATGTGTTATAGCTGTAAAAAGTTCTTGAATCTACTAAAACAAATATTTTGATTACATATTTTGCTGGTTAACTGGGTATATACTGACAAAAGGAACACCACCCTCGAAATTTCTCTAATTTTTCATCAATAGTAACACATTCACCAATAATGCATATCTTTTGGCAATTTTCATTGAAATCGGCAAAAAATTCTCTCACAGCCGCCAATTTGTCCAATTTTTTCTGAGCTTCACAATTGGTCACATTGTCTAACCGTAAACACCTGAGAAGAAAATTAAATCTTTTATATGACATTGTGTTCCGTAAAATTTCAATGCCTGATCCATCAGTAGCCCACAAATCTTGTGTGTTTGTATGTGATGATTTATGCAAGCCACACAGATATAAAAGCCCAAAAAGTGCTCTAATTTCCACATCATTTGTTGTTTTGGCATCCCGATCTCTGGTGTAATTTACCGATAATTTTTCAATATAAATATTTATACACTGCACAATGAGTCTTATCATTTTAGCATTGAAAAACAATTCCCAACTTTCTAGAGGCTCCGTTACATTGCGTGCAATTCCTTTTAATCCTAGTAAATGAGTTATTATATTTTGAGAAGATGTTTTCACTTTTTGATTTGGTTTTCCTTTCTGCCAAACTGTCTTATTTTTGCTAATAAAAATACTTTTTACTAAATCAGGATTTCCATCGTCTTCATCATTCTGCTCAAATTCACTTTCACTGTCGTGAGAACTGTATATTTCTTCATCAGATTCATTTTCACTATCTTGAACAATTTCTTCTTCAGAAGACTCAACTTCATCTAATAGAATTCTCAAATGTTCCATTTCACATTCAGTAAATTTACGTTTGTAAGCCATTATTTATCAAATAATCCAACAGACCAACAACAGAAACACTCAAGAGCACTGCTACTAATGAAAGCTAAACTGCTACTAATGAAAAATTTGGAAGCAGTGATGGTCGCAGAGTGACTGAGTCACCCCATTCCCTCATGGATTCTAAGAAATGATTGCTTCTCTTGCAGAAAAGAAAAACAAGCAAAAATAACAATACAAATTCCAAGAGGAGTGTCAGACAGGAGGATACTAGAAGGATGATGATACATGAAATATTTCCGGTCAGGATTGTTGATTTTCGACGCATGAGGTGACTCTGTGCCCCCCGCTATCTCTCCCGGGTTAAATTATCTAAAGTATTTTACTAAAGGTAGATATGTTCATATGTTTACAAAGTCCTCTCACAAACAGTAGGGTAACCGATTACTCTTACAAAAATGCTTACATTTTCTTATAACAAGGTACTTTTATAATGCAGTTTAGGAAATATGTGGCAGCTTCCCCTAGTCTCCAGTTGGATAAACCTTTAACAGACACAGTGTATCAGTGGAGAATGCAGAAAATTAACCTCAGACAGGAATTCTGAAACCACCATGGACTCACATTCATTCTCATTGTTCCCTTGTGATTGAGTACATCAGTGATAGCCAAACCATCAATTGCGAACTACTAGTAGCTCGTAGGGACATTTTCAGTAGATCGCATTTGGATAGGTTTGTCTAGTCTTAATTTCTCCACTGAGCTGACGCTGAACAACTGCTCGATTCTCCCTTGTAAACGTCACTGTCAGCCTCATCTCACAGTTGATTGTATACACATGAGGTTGTGCGCGCTATATTTTTCTTGTGTATATTAGGCATCTGCTAACTTGGATAGTTTGATTTATGCATTGGTACTAAATGATGGCGTATTCAGACAAAAAGCAGAAAGCTTATGACTTTCATTTGGAATGGGAAATCAATAAGTGCTTTACTGAGATCAAAGATAAATGTGCATGTTTACCGTACTATGCAAATATCTCAGTTGGGAAAAAGGGGAACTTTGAATGTCACTTCAAAATCGATCATGCAGGGATTGAAAAGGATTTCTGCTGAATTCTGCTTAAGAAAAGAAAAATTAAGGCAGCTAAAATCTAAGCTTATGCTCAACAATCAACTTTTTTAAAACCACTAAACAAGAATAAAGCAGCTACTGAGGCATCATTCAGAGTTTCAAATATTTGGTACAACTCTGATATACGGCCTAATTTCACCAAATGTGGCAATATGTGTTCTGTGCTGGGTTTTGGTGCGATTGCGTGTTGTATGGCAACCCTGCTGACGTTGAAAGCTGGAGCACGTTGGTTCGCGTCTGTGTCTGAGAAGACTGGAGGTGTGGAAAGAGGATCTGAGAGATTATTATTAGCGGCTGTGCGTGATAGAAGTAGGGATTTGTGATTTTATTCATTTGTGAACCCTATTATGAATTTTCTGGATAGTGTGTCTGGCTGTCATATAAATACGATAGTGATAATGTGGCGACATGTTAAATGCGGTATGAAATTGGTATTTCGGCTGTTCGAAAAAGCATTAATTCATGGTAAGTGCATTTTATTTTTTTCTTGCTCTTATTTTGTAGAATGTTATGTTCATTGTTTTTCAGTATGAATTTCTGACGTTATTGTTGTTTTTTTAATTGTTTGAAATTTACTTTAGTTATTTTAGTTTATTCTGTTGATTAGTGAGTAGTGTCTAGATTGTGCAATTCGTAGATGTTTTTTAAAGTTGAAACAGAACGCTGTGTACGTGGTATTCTTTGAAATTTATTGTTGTTACGTTAATTTATTAAAGCAAGGTGTGCGTAGTTCATAGATTCGTTCGTTGCCTAAATTGGGCAATTCGTAGATGTTTTTTTTAGTTGAAACGGGATGCTGTGTACATGGTATTCTTTGAAAT